CATGGGTACCACCTGCCATTAGTTCATACGCCATAAGGAGATTAAAGTAAAAATGTGGAGTCATCTGACAGGAAATGATATCTATATATATAATGATTTTGTACAGTATTATTACACATTTAACAGCATAAAGAGGAAATTCTTGAAAGGGTCAACTAACGTGCCACGTGTTTGCATTCTCACTCGAGGGTCATTAAATTATACTTTTCACTTTGAAGAGCCTGACTCCAGTGATAGGAGGAAAATTGAATATTGTTCAGGCAATGAAAGAGACTAAATGTAACCTTTTTTTAAAAAGAAACTGAAATTCACTTTTACAATATAAAGGCTGACTGTTTTGTGTCCTTTTCCAATTACCTGAGTAGCTCCAGGAAAAATGAAAAGCTAAAGAGAATACATGTTCATGCTCCAACAGGAGTGATTTGGTTAAAATATGATTGACTTTCTGAATACAAAAGCATCGACTTTCACACTCCACTGGGGTTTAATTATGCTTTTGCAGCTCCTGCCAAGACAAACCCTCAGGCCTGTGACCACAGGGGGCTGGAAATTTTATATGACATGCATGTCACTTATTTTTTTATGCCTTTAAACTGCGACGAGCCAAAGTTTTATTGTCTGACATCATATTGAATCCCCTTCTATTTAATCCCATTTGTTGTGATCTGAGTTTTGGGGTGTCTTTGCTGCTTGTTCCTTCTGTAAAGGTTATGTTGACCAACAAGTCGATATCACCAACAGTCAGCGCAGTCCTGTAAGGCTGAGTGTGAATAATTATTGAACCTTTCTAAATATTTTAGTGGCAGTATTGTTTAGCATATTTGCTCAGAGAGGAAGCTGTCATGCTTACTTCTCAGGAGGATTGTGAAATTGTGAACATAGTCAACACGTGGTTCATTTAAGTGCGAGTTAAATCCTGGAAGTAAATTGGCAACAAGCCTATTGCACCAGCTCTTTGTAAGTTTAGCCTAAGTGTTTACTAAGTGGACATTTAGCATTAATAAATCAAAAACAGACAGCATGACTAAGTGAATAAGTTCTTACTTTGAGATGTACTAATAAATATTTTCACCCATTAACTTTCAAGTGTAACGGTTGCGTAGCTACAAAGTGGAAATGCTAACGTTAACTTGCTAATGTATGACCCGTTTAGACTTAAGAGGAAAAATGTATTAAATATTGTCAACACATCTGACTCAAGAGTGACACTTGATGAAATACTCATGCTTAATAATGTATTAAACATAAATTACATTTAATAAAAATGACACAAAATACCTCAAATTTACTGTTTTACTTGATGACTAATAATAATTTGGATGAAGGTAAAATATATCACAACACTGTTGCGTATTGTTAGCACCACGAGTTACAGAGATGCCCCGGCCTACAAATCATATTCTCCACACATAAGCGAACATGCTTGTTTGGTAAAAGGCCCAACAAAATTCACATCATCATTTTTGATTTTTTTTTTTCCAATGAAAATGAAATGCAAAAATCATCATTTCAACTGAAATCATGACTCGTATTGCAATCGCAATATCTGCCAAAAATAATCACAATACAATTTCTTTTGTATATCGTGCACAAAACCAAACCATAATCCTGAAAATCATCCTTCTTTATAGCAAATCTGAAAATACAGTTTGAAAAGGCTTCAAATAAAGCATAAATCTCACCTTTCTACTGCTTGTCCAAGTCAATTTGTCTTCTTTGCCTCGTTGTGGTGCACTAAGCCGTAATGGGCTCATAACTGCCCCCTGAGGCCAGAGGGCAGAAAACACCCACTGGTACCTGATGGGTGGTGAGAACCACGGTTGTAGTGGTTTGCCCCCCCCCCAGCAGCTACAAGAGGCAACAATGAGCCCATTCCACACTCAGAAAACCAAACTTTGATAAGCAACACAAGTGGTGAGATTCATGTTTTGTCTGAAGCGTTTTCAAACTGTGTTTCTTACAGTTTTACAAAATAAAAGACTTAAAAAGTTTAACTGGTTGGGCCGTCGAGTGGTGCAGTGGGGTTGAGCAGGCGCCCCATATGTAGAGGCTACAGTCCTCGCTGCAGTCGGCCCCGGTTCGAATCCCGCATTGGACGGCCCTTTACTGCATGACATTCCCCCTCTCTCTGCCTCCCCATTTCCTGTCTCTCTCTACTGTGCTATCATAAAGGCATAAAAAGCCCAAAAAAATATACTTAAAAAAAAGATTAACTGGTTGATTTTGCAAACGTACACCTGGTTAACCATCCCCACCTCCATTCATAGCAGCACACAGCTGCTCTCCTGAGCTTTCCTACCAGGCCTTTTGGGACTTTCTGCCATGTAGTGGACACCTGAATGTGTCTTGGTGCAACCTCATTTAGTAAATCATTGGTTTGAAACTAGCTAGTTGTACCAAGATCTTAGGAAGTAATTTGCATACAGACTTATGTAATAGATTTAAAATTAGCCGATGCAACTCATGAACCTCTGTAGTGTTTGCAATGACAGAGAATGATGTCTACAGAAACGTACATTGTGCATTTTCACGTTTTCACATAACAAAGACACCGCTTGAAATAAGAACGGGCTTTAGTTTCTCCCAGCATAGGGAGGCAGGAAAACACTGCAGCCCTGCCTGTCCATCACAACACTAATATACCATGACATACAATTCATACACACAACCAGAGCGATGCACGCATACACTGTAGGCACAGACCTGTTTAGAAGGGAGGAACCAGTCTACTGTATCTTAACAACTGTTGAACCAGCTTTTACTCTAAATAGCAAGCTGCCTTTGATTTACCTCTTACTTCTCCTGTGCCTTGGATTACTGAGAATCTTCATACTAATCAGGATTCGAAAACTTCATCATTAGAGGACAACTAATATGCACCGAGTGTGCAATCCTGACAATAAAAAGAGGAGAGGAGTGCCTCTCCAGGCCTTTTATCTAATTTATCAGTGACTGCCAATCACTGAAGTGGAGTCAGTTTATCTGCATGTTTCAGAAAGCAAAATGTAAGATTTTTAAAGAGCTTGTTCCAGAGGCTGAATTTGATTGAAGGTCATTTCCAAAAACAAATAATTAAGAGACGAGGCTGACATGACCTGTTTATAAGGGTTGATGTAAATTGGCAGAGTAAGAACTGGATCCCAGGAAATAAATTGCATTGGGACATGAAGCCCAATAGTATTTGCCACAGCATTAGAAATGCATTTTGTGTTGCAAAATCAGGGTCTTGAATATTCTGGAATGTCAGGAATGCAGTGATAAGATAATATAGGACACTACATGTGAAAAAAACTATTATATTTCACAACTGTCCACATTAATTCAGCCATAAAACTGAGCCCATCGCAGCCTTTCTGTTTAAAATGGTTTAAGGACCTGCAAAATCCTGAGTTTAATTACTGTGGAAGCACAATCAAGCCCGTGCTTAACACCCTGAGATTGCACACCAGGTGATCATAAATGTGCATGATGACAGGCATGACAGACATAACAGTGTTTGTGGGAGAGTCCACTGCAATAAGAAAAAAACTCTGCTTACTGTATAATTTTAGCCATCAGCCGTCAGTGGTAAATGGAGAGTGGGATGTGTGTGAAAACTGAACACACTCTAAGCAGAATTAAGCTGCAGACTAGTGTCCCTTGAGGCTCAGGTATCCAGTTTTAAAAGCAAATGCTTTGTGAACAGAAAGTGCCCACAATGCAGGACTCCAGGGACTACTGAAGTTAAAGGTGCTATGTGTCCAGTGGAGGCAATGAGAGGCCGGCCCTTGAACTGCATGCTGCAAGTGATGGGTTATATTTAGACCAAGAGGATCTGTTTACTGAAGTAAATATTAAAAAACTTTACATATGACTTAAGGGGACAGGAAAGCAATGGAAGGTGTCCATGCAAAGATGTAGAACTATGTATATTATAATTTCCCCTCGTTTCTGGTTAGATTGTGTTTTAGGCCACATATGATGTCGAGTGTTAGATTTTGCTTTAAACAGCCTACACAGTGAATATGAAAGGTTAATAAAAAAGGTCAAAATCATTTGTTTCCTTGTTCAAGTAGCCTAACCACAGTACCCAATTAAGTTCTGAAGAGAGTACATAAATGTCTGTGTCTGACAAAGGTAAATAATGGCACAGTCATCACATAACTGAGGAACAAGAATTGTACAGGGATCTGGCAATACATTAATCTGGCACTCACTGAAACTGTTTTATATTTTAATCACAGACACACAGAGAGGCTACTGGTCATTCAGATCTCTTGGGAAGTAAAGCCAATCCTGACACCATCCTGTTAGAAACGTCCAAAAAATATAAAGTTATAAGAGTTAAGCCACTGTAGTGTTTGTGTCTGTATGACATATAACCCATCAAACTACAATCAACCAAAACGCGCCGTTTCACCACAAGGAAGGAACGTCCCACCAGCCTCCATTCACGCATCCACTAATCCAACGTGTACTTGATTATCATTCAAATAACATGACTTTAACAACGAGACAGAGGAACTTTAGGAAATTGGCATAGTCTTCTAGTGGTTTCGGCTTACATGTTACGATGAATGGGACACGATGCACTGCCCTGTTTCAACGAAATTTGTTCCAAACTTGTAGCCTCGTACACATCGATTGCACCCGCCCTGGCAGATGTAACGTTATTTGCATTGGAGATGGACAGCGACTTATTTTTGAATGCTATTTATAAAAGTTGTCAGTTTTGTCATGTAAGAGCGCCACGTTTTTTTAGATATAGGCCGAATTATGCAGATGTTGCTACTGATTCGGAAAGGATTTACATCTGAAAGCCAGATAACAATTCACAAGTGTTTGTAAGTAAGGAAAGCTAAAGAATCGTTTTTTTAAAGGTAGTCTGGAGTTCACGCTGCACATCAAAGAATAGCACGGCGTGCAGCTGCCCCTTCACACAGTGCATCTCAAGGGAATAGGACAAATTGATCTGTGCTTTAAGTTTATTCAAATAAATCTTAATGAACAGGTTTACTTGCCGAAGTTGGAACCAAAAGGCAGGCGGGTCGCTCGATCAGCTCAGGTTGCTGTTTCCCGGTCACATTCATTTCCCATAAAACCGCTTTCTCTGTCCGCTGACTTCGACGAGAGTTTTTCAAGTCATTTATCCAGCAATTCAATGCAAGTGTTATTCACCGGCGTCCCGTTCAACGACAGAGTCAGACGGAGAAACCATGCCTATGCGCTCTAGTAGGCTTTTTTTCAAACATGTAAAGCTGCGTGTATCCTGCAATTACAACAATTTTGCCTGCTGCAGAGACAAATTAGTCACAGCGATCGTTGCTTATTTCTCCGGCTCAGCCCTAACTGTCAGCGCACTGTGGCTCGTCTGCTGCTGCTCATCAGTCTGCATGTCTCTCCACCTGCTGCCTGTCCTCCCATTAACCATTCCTGCGTCAAACCACAGGACGTTAACCCATTCACTGATATTTAAATTCTGGGTGCATGATGGCGTTTAATCAGCATAAATCACGGCTATATATCATTTTTCTGTCTTTAATTAGTGCCAGGAGTGGCGGTAGTAGCACTATATTGGTGGGGTAAATTACAGTCAGTTAAATTAGTCTTGCATCACCAAGATACAAAACAACAAAATGAGAGATCAGCGTAGAGCTGACTAGAAGTCAGTCCTTCAACTCTGTGTTCAGGTGAAGCTTGCCAGCTTCCCTGAGCATGTTAGGTCTTAATGGGTGCTGGCACACATTAGTTTCTGTGGACATTTGGGAACACTTACAGGCATGGCTTGAGGGGAGCGGGCCTTGCTCATTTTTCTGGTGGAGGGGAGATGGGTCAGAGATGATTATTTGAGCCAGCCTTAACATTGACTCCTTATCACTGGCCTGAAGGAACCGGTGTTGCTGTCTGACTCCTACAACCTTCAGGTTTAACTTTGGATTTTAGAGGTATGAAAAGGTCTATACAAAGAATATGGCACTTCTTCCCATTACCATCACACTATCAGGAGTAATAGAGGTTGTAAATAGACTCTCAAACACCTAAGTGCACACTGCACCTGACAGATGGTTTCACTTTGTATGGCTACAAGTCTATAATTAGTGATAGACTTTTCCTTTGTGTTTTTTATGCTCAGGTTTAGAGGTTTAGATATATCTGGGAGGGTTACAATAATGGACCGCTGCAGTGCACTATATTACAGGAAAGCACTATCATCAGAGAGTATGAAAAGGTATTATCAGAGGATTGGAAAAGGTGTGATTCTTACAAAATACTACTTTAGCTTCATACTTCAATGACAGACATCCACTCCTGGAATTATATTTTTACCTGCAAAATCTGATGAGATGATGTTCTAGCACTTGTTATGGATTTCAGCGAAATCTCCCTCAACCTTTTGTTGGCTAGTTCGAATTCAGTATGCATCCTTGGGTTTTATTTAAACATTTCTACAGGCAGAGCAGAGCCGCAAAGGTAAAAAAAAAAAAAAAAAAAAAAAAAAAAAAGCTTTAATGTTTGAAAGAAAGCTCAGGAGTAAGAGATTTTTGGCCAGCTCTAGGAAGAGTCCTGGTTGTTCCACACCTTCTATTTAAGAATTATGGAGGCCACTGTGTTGATGGGAACCCTCAATGCAGCAGATATGTTTTTGTAGCCTTCCCCAGATCTGTGCCTCAACACAATCCTGTCTCTGAGCTCTGCAGGAAAGTTCCTTCCACCTCATGGCTTGGTTTTTGCTCTGATATGCATTGTCAGCTGTGAGACTTAATATAGACAGGTGTGAGCTTTTCCAAATCATGTCCTATCAATTGAATTTACCACAGGTGGTCTAGAAACATCTCAAAGATGATCAAGAGAGATATGGGAGGCAATTGAGCTCAATTTCAAGTGTCATAGCAAAAGGGTTAGCAAAAATTACTTTTTTATTTTGGTATGATGCTGCAACATAACAAAATGTGAAAAAAATAAAGGGGCATGGATACTCTCTTAAGGCAATGTACATACCACACTTTATGTACCCCTTAAATAAAGCAGTTAATATATTAAAATACATCTAAAGAAAATGTAATGTAATGCTCACAATACAGAAATGCATTTTCAATCCACTGTACTAAGGTTCCTTTAGTAAATACGCTGATAACAGTACTGATGGACTGTGTCAAACTTGATTGCTGTACAGCCTCAAAAATAAATCAAGGCAGCTGTGTTAACACACTTACTTTCTCTCTCAACAAGAATAGAAAAAAGAACCACTAAGCTCCACAAATCACTAAGAGAAAGTGTAGCACAGAGACCCTAAAGACAGCTCAAAATGCCCCAGGATTTTGTTCACAACAAGATCCTTAAAAATGGATCATCCAGTAGTGCCAGTAGTCATTTGAATGCATTGAGTTTGGTTGCTTCTTTGACCCAGTGATTTTGTTTGCTCTTTCCGACCTGGCCATTTTCTGCTTGAATTAAGGACTTTAGGACAAAAATAATGACAGCTTTACTCTGAAAACTGTCCAGAACAAGAAGAAATAAGGTCATGAATGTTTACTTTGGGAGAAACCTTCAACACAACACATTAAGATTACCAACCAGCAGCTAAAGACTGGAAACAGATAGCTCTATTCAATGGTAACAAAATGCACTCAGCAGCACCTTTTCAGCTCACAAACACATATCTCATGAACTGAAATGACAATTGGCGGTCTTTAGTGGGTCATTTACGTTAGCTTAGCACAAACACTGGAATCAAGTTGAAATAACTAGCCTAACTTGTCAAAAGATAACAACATTTGCCCACATTTCACATTGAAACACACAAAAAAAGTTTTTTACACTACAGGGCTTTGGTCAAATTAAACAAACCAGGTTAAAATGTTCATGAGTGATCTTCAGAGGTGCTGAAATATGGATTATGTCAACTTTGGACAGAGCTGTGTTAGCTGCTTCCCCTTGTTTTCAGTCATTATGCTATTGTAAGCTAAGCTAACTGACTGCTGGTAGCTTCATATTTAGCAAACAACTATGAGAGTGGTATCAATCTTTTCAGCTAACTCTGGGCTAGAAAATACATTTTGTCAAATGCAGGTTTTCTTGAATAAAATTAAGTTTTCTAGTAGTTGTATTATTTCCAGGGAGTATATGAAACACAAATGCCCATGTGATGTGTTTCCTGTTTAGAGATACGTCGGTATACCTTGTTGCATTCTAATCATGAATTTTGACAATCAAAGGACAAAATAACCTCTTTGGATCAACCTCACAACTTAATAACAACTTAGACTACACTTTGTTGTGTTGCAGAGATCTACTGAAGTTAGCATGCTAACCAGCTAACCAGTTTATTAATTAGTAAATGCAAGTCAGCTATAAACCTGTGTGTCAACCATCCTCTCCTGGCAACAGTCCTCCACTCTTTCCTCAAGCTCGGCTATTGCTGATGCCCTACCTGCTCTCCCCAACAACTCCTCCAACCTGAACAACCCTCAACAGTTTTGGCCAGTCATGACTGATTTCTAATATTCTGAGATTTATATAGTTATTGCCCAAACATCTGCACCAGCATCTGAGTTCAGTTTTGTTAAATCTGTAGCTCAAACCTTCATAAGGTGGTAAGATGTCTGTATTTCACCTCAGCATTTCAGCAGAATTTTTTGATATGAAATCAAACTTGCAAAATTCCCTTATCATGAAGGGAAATGATATTCCAGTATGATCTAGCATCTGGTCTCACTGTGAAAAAAATAGACTTCCGTATGTCCGACCATCAATCAGTTTTTTTTAAAGCTCTGTCAGCCCCTCTCTCAGCTGCGAGCGTATTGCTCTAGATCTTTCTCTTGCATCTTTAACTTCTGTGGGGCTTTGAAAACCTTTTGTCAAAGCTTCAAAGTGACTGTCTTTCTCTCATATTATATCTAAAAATGTTCAGGTTTCTGGGGTTGTGTTTTACATTCAATACTCTGTTTCTAAGCATATTTCTGGAATTGAAAATAGTACTAAAAATGTTGACATGCAGTTTTCTAGGGATCTTACCTCATTCAAAAATAATTTCTGGTGGACCAGTTTCTGTAGAATTTTGTCATTTTGACCTTTATTCGTCTCTGTAACTGAGACTAATGAAGCACATGTTCCTTTGGTGTTTTTTGTTCCCACTAAAGTCTGGAACAGGTGGTTGGGAGGCTGAACTGAAAATATCTTGCAGAAGCCAATTTTAACTTTCAACTTTCAAACTTTTCCTCCAAAGGAAGCAGGTAGGCAGAACTTGCAATTCTGACAAGTAATGCATTTGTGAGACTTTTCAGTCAAGTTTTTGAACAATACCGAGAATTGGGTCTGCCCTGATTAAAGATTCTAGTACTGTAAGTGAATTTAGGCGAAACTCCTGTTTTAATCCCTCCATTTCTTAGCACAGCCTTCATGTGGCTGAATTCCTTGCTTGGCATTAAGGGGCGTTGCTGTTAATTGGTTCAGTTCTTGTACTGTGAAACCCCTTTCTGTTCAAATTGGAAACTTATCAGACAACACACAGACTGCAGACAATAACAGGGGCAGGGTTAATGGAAGTTCAGCCTAAGGTCTTATACTTTCTTGCATTTTCTTACAAGTTGCCATATTTTCAAATCTCAAGTGGGCACACTGTTTACAATACTTAAACATGCATATCCTCATTTCAAAGTTTTGTTCTTCAATACAAACCTCTGAAGAACTTTCCTAATGTTCACAGACAAAACTATTTTTTTCTCCAAATGTATGTGTTGAAACATAACATTCAATCCTTGAAGCGCATCGTCTTGCTCCACCAAGTCTTGTTGTTTACAGGCATAAGGTGCTTAGGTGCATGAGTAAATTATCATTTCAGTCCAGATTTCACAAGAGTGGGCTGGAGTAGCTACAGTGGTGCTGAAAGAGCTAAATACCAACATTTGCAACATACTCACACTGACAATGCTTGCAGGCTGATGTTTAGCAGGGATAATGTTCACCATGTTCATCATATTATTATCATATTAGTCTAGTAGTGTGTCAGCATGCTAACAGTTGCTAATTACTAAAAGAACCGCTGAGGCTAACAGGAACACTGTTAGTTTTAAGTGTTTAATCATAAACAGAAATATTAAACTTTGAAATTTTGCTGCTGCCTCTCATTGCCCCTAAAGCAGTGCCGTTAGCAAAACAAAAGTACAATTTGTAGCCAATAACACCATCTGTTATCAAAACAAAATACTTCCAAACTGTCATTTGCTAAGCTTTATACTTAGGACAGTTAGATATCTCTTCATTGCTACATTGAGAACAGCTTTTTAAAATTTTCTACTACAAAACAGACCTAAAACCAAGTCGAAACACAGTTGAAAACATAGTCAGATCGCTAACTAGA